CACCTCGGAAGGATGGAAGGCTGAGTCAACCCTGAGCCGGTGAGATTTGAACCGCTGACCTGCTGATCTAGCAGTAGCCTGCAGTGCTGCTTTTTAACCACTGCGCCACCTTGGCTCTTAGAGCAAGGTTGTAAGAGCAAGGTTTGGTTGTAAAGTCGTTTCCCCCCCACCCCCCAGTGCTTGTAAATTTGAATGGTTGCTAAATGAACGGTCGTAATTCAAGGACTGCTTTTATTTATTTATATCAATCCTCCTTCATCTCAGCTCACCTAGATATCCTCTTTCTCCTTTTCCAGCTAATTCAGCAGATCTCAAGGTTGCAACGGAGAAGCCTCCGCCATTCCCGTCAGCTGGATCCCCACAAAGCGTACATCGCAGCCCGTGTCCACGTCCTGCCCTCTATTTTCACCCTTGGGGATATGAAACGCTACGACAACTTCGAAAATAAAGCCCTGGAGGCCGGACAGAAATATGTCATTTTCATTTTGGCCGTTCTACAGACCAATGAACCCGTGAGTTCCCTTTGCGTCTCTCCACACATTCTTAGGACCCCTTTAAGAGCCTGAGTGGGTTAACATCAACCTCCTTTCAATGGAGATCAAAAACAAACAAGCTTCTTTTGGGTTTTTATCGCTTTTGTCTGAATGATATTAATTTACCGTGCTGCGCATAAAAACAGCCAAAAAATATTTTGAGGGGCAGCGGAAGCGAAAAGATGGTATAATTTCTTAGAATGAATATCTTACAAAGCATTCAAAGTCAATATCCATAACGCCCAAATGTAGAAAAGTAATAAGTAGCATAAAGTAAAAAAATAAAAATGACATGCATTGAAATTTCTCCAACACTGCAATAATAGAGCAAGAGCATAAAAGGCTAAATTAAATTTGAACAAGGCTATCCTACCTACTGAGATCATACCACTCATTCGGGCAGGTCAATTAAAAATGTAGAAGCTGTATTTACTCAGCAGGCTAAATTTATTTAACATTAACCTTGTGGTTTGGGTTTTTTTTTCTTTATGCTTAGCATTTTGCCCAGGCCTAGCTGTTTTGTCTAATTATATGCATACTCAGAAATGGGTTAGTTTAATAACCAACAAGGGTGCGCAAAACTCGCCAGTTCAATGGTGAACTTGCCCCAGGAAATGCTTGCTGTATATGGAATGTTATGCCCAGAACCTCTTGAAAAAGTCCTGATTTAGAGGATTTCCTTTGGGAAACTCATAAATTGCACTGGGAGAATTGATTCTGGAGAATTGTGGAACCTTTCCTTCCCCAGTCAGTGAATTTTGCACATCTCAAGTGACTAATTTAAATCAGTTACAGGTAGTCTTCAACGTATGACCGCATTCAAGCCCAAAATTCATGTTGCTAAATGAAACATTTGTTAAGTGAGTTTGCCCCATTTTACGACCTTTCTTGCCACAATTGTTAAGTGAATCACTGTAATTGTTAAATTGTCAAACTTTTGTTATGTGAATCTGGGTTCCCCTTGACTCTTGCTTGACAGAAGGTCGCAAAAGGGAATCAGGTGACCCCAGGACACTGAAACCGTCGTAAATATAAGTCACTTGCCAGGCATCTGAATTTCGATCATGTGACCATGGGGATGCTACAATGGTAATAGGAGTGAAAACTGGTCCCAAGTCACTTTTTGCGGTGCCATTGTAACTTTGAACGGTCACTAAATGAAAAGGTGTAAGTTGAGGACTACCTGCATTCTATACCTCAGTCACAATGACAGATTACAGTTTTTGACATGGGTTTTCACTCACGTTTGCTGATCTGAGTCAGAACTGTCAGTTTCACGTCTTTGCTTTCTACCCCTTATCTACCTTTTCCCAATGAGAAGACAAAGGGAAATAGCAATAGCACTTATATACCACTTCTCAGTGCTTTCCAGCCCTCGCTAAGTGGTTTACAGTCAGCCTATTGCCACACAACAATTTTGGGTCCTCATTTTACCCACCTCAGAAGGATGGAAGGGTCAACCTTGAGCCTGGTGAGATTCGATCTGCCAAATTGCAGGCAGCCAGCAGGCAGCAGAGGTAGCCTGAAGTACTGCACTCTAACCACTGTGCCACCACGGCTCCTCCTTTACAGCAGGGATGCGGAATTACGGTCCTTTTATGACTTGTAGACTTCAACTCCCAGAATTCCTGAGTCATCTATGCTCAGGAATTCATTCATAAAGGGGCCACAGTTCCCCACCTCTGCTTTACACGCTTGTTGTTTTTGATTTCTGTTTCAGATGTACGCTGCCAGTCCCTTCTCTGATCCCATCCAAATGGACAGCTCTGATCCCCAGCCCAAGATTGAAGGAGAGGAGGGGCTGATCTGGGTGATTGGACCGGTTTTAGCTGTAGTCTTTATTATCTGCATTGTTATTGCAATTCTCCTGTACAAGAAGTAAGTGGGAGTGTCCATTTTTTTTGGTGTGTGAGGATCCTCTTCCTTGGGCTAGGCTATTCCTTTTTTTCTTTTTAAAGCAGATTTTTTTTTCCGTTGAAGGTCTGTGTCTCCTGGGGCAAGATAATCTAACCCTGAGACCCTGTTTGGTTAAGTGATTAAGCTACTGGCCAATCACCAGGAGACAGCGAGTTCTAGTTCAGCCTTAGCCATGAAAGCCAGTTGGGTGACTTTGGGCCAATCACCAAGAAACGTTGAGTTCTACTCGTGCCTTAGACATCATGAACGACTTTGGCCAGGTCCCTCTCTCAGTCCAGCCCACCTCACAGGGTTGTTGTTGGGGGGAATAGGCGCAGGAAGGCATATTTGGTATGTCTGCCACCTTAAGTTATTTATAAAAATAATAAAGGGATATATACAAACATATATATATATATAACATACACACACACACACACTTTTCCAACCTGGTGTGCTCCAAACATGATAGCTAAGAGGGGAAGGGAAGCAGAAGAGAGCTCTAACCCCAAACATCTGGAAGACATCTCATGAGAACAATTGATGTTGACCAGAAATATACCTAAAAGGCTGAACTTCCAAAAGCGATCATCAGCTTTGAACTGGGAAGGTTCCTGAACAATTAGTAGGTTTAAGGATAACCAGGAATCTCCCAGCTACTGTCTTATATTGTGTCTTTTTGTTTTCCCCCACTCCCTTTTTGTGCGTCCCTGGACAGCAAGCCAGACAGGTAAGAATTTTGTTTGTTTGTTTAAATCCTTACTGTCTCTTTTGATGCAATTGAAAATCAGGAATACCTCTGAAAACTGGAGAAAACAAAGTCGAAGAGACAGGCCCTTTTAGCTTACTGGCCTATCACCGGCAATACAACTACAAATTAATTTTAATTCTGAAATAGACAGAGGACAATTAAAGATAAAGATAAATTGCCAGGAGGAGGCTGAAGTAGCTGATAGCACTCCTTCTCATCTCTACTACAGAGCTTAACCTTGTGACTTCCCCATTTATGTGGGTCACCCCTTTTACGTCTCTATTACAATATTAAAGCGAGGACTATCTGTACTGAAAAGACTTAATTTTCTGGTGCTCAGCGCAGTTTTTAGCTTAATATATCATTCCTCCTGCTACCAGACGCCCAGTGGTTATTCATTCAAAAAAGATCACACATATTTGTCTAAAGTCGAGCATCATTTGCCCAATTAAAACACTGCAGGTTCCAGCTGTGTGCTGGACTTGATCCCCTTCTCTTGACCCACCTACTTCTTTCCTGCCTCCTCCTGTTTTCTCCCTCCAGCAAACGCAAAGACTCCGAGCCCCGGATCAAGTGCTTACTGAATAATGCTGAGATCACCCCTCATCACCCCAAAGACCCTGTGGAGATGAGGCGCATCAACTTTCAGACGCCAGGTAACCAGCTTCATGCCACCCTCCCTCTTTTGCTAGATGGCTGCATGCTTCTGATACCACTCCATGCCCTGGCGAAGTTCTGTTCGCAAAGACACACGCATGTGTAATTGTATAACCGGTGCGGTATCGTTGGTATAATTCAGTTTCGAGATGATGTGCACTTTACGTTAACCAACCAACAGGCAAAACCTCAGCCCGTTTTATACAAGACAGGATTGAAAAAAATTTGAAATAGCTGGATGAGGCTTTTGGTGGGCAAATGGACCACCATAATTCATCATTATTCTCTTTATGCTGAATAAATTAGACTAGGTGGTGAAATCCGCACATTTTTTGTGACTTTGCTCAGCAGAATAGAAAGAATTTGCCTGGTAGAATAGAGAGAATTTAGCTTTGCTTAGCAGAGAAGGAGCTTAGGTGATTAACTAATACATTGATTTAAAACAATGCCCGTTTCAATTCATTTAAAACGGTGGCCCTCTTAAAAAGTGTTTAACTCATTTTTAATGCAAGTAGACTTTTTTTTTTAAAAAAAAAATAACCCTGCAGCTGGAAAGGATTTTAGAAGAAGCTTTCTTACTTGCACACGGAAAAGGGGGAAATGCTTCTTATAATATTTTTTTCACCACAGGTAGTCCTCTATTTACGACCACAATTGAATCCAAAATTTCCACTGCTAAGCAAGGCAGTGGTGAAGTGAGTTTTGCTCCCATTCTACAATTGTTTTTGCTACAGTTGTAAAGGGAATCGCTGCAGTTGTTAAGTGAATCTTATGGTCATTAAGCGAATCCAGAGTCTCCCCCCCCTCCCATGGACTTTGCTCGCCGGAAGCCAGCTGGGAAGGTCACAAATGGTGATCTCGTGAGCCCAGGATGCTGAAACTATCCAACATATATGCTGTGGCTGAGTGCCCGAATTTTGACCATGGGGACACTGCAACTGTGTGAAAAAACAGTCAAAGGTCACTTTTTTCTGTGCCAGCGTAACTTTGATGGTCACTAAATTAGTGGTTGTAAGTCGAGGACAATCTGTATAACATTTCACCAAACAGCTGTGGATACCAATGGAGAAGCAGCATTTCCACTTTTGCATTGATGGAAGAGGAACTGCTTCTTTGTACACCTGCATAAAATAAATGTGATGTCCAGGATATTTCCAGTCAAACAGCTGGTCGCAGTTAGGAGTGTGTGGACAGGTGTCTTGGAAGAAGATGGGCAGTGTAGTTCCAGGCACAAATAGTTTAGGGCAGGGACTAGGGGAAAAAGAGGAAGATCCTAACATGCCAAGAGACAGCTGACTGGATTGGATTGGTTGGATAGGCTCCCCTGGATTTTATTGAAGGAAGGAGGGCAGAGAAACCAGCTTTGCTTTATTCAGCCTATGCAGTTGCCATTTTGTCCGAAACTGCAAATAACCCAAGTGTTCTCGTCTCATTTCTGGAGCACAGTGATTTTTATTCTGGTTTCAAAACAAAGCCGCCTCCTGTTTTGGGACCCTGCCTTCCCTCTTTGCAAAGGAAGGGTTTCCTTCCTTCCTCTCTCGCTCTCTCCCTTTTTTCTATTCCATTCCATCTTCCCTCCTTTCCACTTTTGTCTATGTATCCTTCACCCTCCCTCCCTCTTTCCCTCCCTTTCTTCTGTTTCATTCCTTGTTTCCACCCTCTTTCTTCTATCTATATTTCCTTCCTTCCTTCCTTCCTTCCTTCCTTCCTTCCTTCCTTCCTTCCTTCCTTCCTTCCTTCCTTCCTTCCTTCCTTCCTTCCTTCCTGACAGGTGGAAATGTAAGCCAAGGCAATGCTAGAGGTTTATGGTTAGATGATAAAGCACAACATAACATAACCACAGTCAGCAAAACCATCATCCCACTGCAGTCCAGGTACCACCAGATCTTTTCCCAGAGCCTGGCATTCTTTCCCAAACCGATTCTTTTGACTCCTGGCAGCCTGACACAGCAGCTCATCCAGCTTGTGCCCAACGAGGCTGCAAACAATTCCTTTGTTTTGCTTTTCCACTCCCCAGCATGACAAAGGAAAGTCTGAGCTCCTTTGTCCTTCAAGACCGCAAATGCTGCAAGAGCATCTCTTTTGCAGCTGATCTATCCCTCTCTGAGGGGAAGTTATTCCACAGCCACTGCTTGCAAAACTGTGCCTTCCCTGTGCCAGTATAAAATGGAGCTTCTGGGATTTCACTCTCTTCTCTCCCTTTTTTTTCCTCCCTTTCCTGCCCCTTCTATTTTTTAACGACATTTCTAGATTAGAGAACTGAGATTTCGAGACAAGGATGTTGGTCAGGGGCTATCTTGGAAGATGATTAATATTTGGTTTTGACTATTCATAGTGAGAGGTGAAATGCAGGAGCTGAGCTATAGATTTATTCACTTGTATTGTTTTAGGCACTTTGGATCACAAACAAATATTCACAGGGTGTGACCAAAACTCAGATGCCAGGAGAGAAGTAAAGGTATCACTTTTCTCTGGCCAAACTTAATAACCCAGTGCCCAAACATCTGGAACGAAGCACTATAAAGTTCATCTTTGCAAAAGACAATTCCACCTTCTTTACAGCAGGATTAGAATAATCATAAGTAAAGAATAACATTATTTTAATATTTCAAAAATATCATTTGGATGACTAAATCTTTTTTTAATCTGAACTAAATATCATTTAATAAATTTGATACAATCTGAGACTTTCAGTTTGTGAGCAGATGCTTTTTTGCTGTCCCAAATCTTATAATTGGACCTTAAATCCAAATGCTTAAAACTCCCAAGTTTCATGTATGAAGAAGGTCTCTAATATTGTTAAGTGGCAGTTGCTGGGGTCTAGTTATCATCCTTGATCAAGGTGATCTATTCTCTCCAAACTATTGTATTTCCCTTTTTTTTTGCTTTATCTCTTTTAATCCTCTCTCTGGAGGTGGAGAGAAACATTCAAAATTTTGACTATGATTCAAGAAAATTGAAAAACTTTTGCCAATATATTCATATATTGGATTGCTTTGTTTCCCATCCTTCAAATGTTTTGACACCACCTTCTTCTCCCTTTCTTTTCTCCCTCCCTCCCTTCTCTACTTCCTTCCTTCCTCCT